CCCAAAACCCCAAAACCCCAAAACCCCAAAACCCCAAAACCCCAAAACCCCAAAACCCCTGGGCCAGGGCTAAGATTGGGCAGTTATGGTAATGGTATTATGATGAGTTTTAGATGAAAAATTTCGGTTTAAATATTCCTTAGGTCCCTGTAATTCTTTCATAGTTGGTGCTTGGATTCTTTTGCTTTGAGACCATTACTTTGGATTTTATTATGATTTTCTTGAGAACTTGTAGTTAAAAACATATCTTTTTCAGGTCTAAACAGGAAGTCTTAGCCTTATGAAGACATTTCTCCCCGATAGGTTTGATCGAAGTCACTTGGGTACTTGGGTGGCTCTCTTGGCTCATTTCAAACTTAAGATCACAGATCTCATCATTCAACCTCTCAATGATGACTTCTTTTTCACAGACAAGATCGAGGAGATCGCCGATCTTTTTAAAACTATTGTCTTTAGTCTCAATGTAATCGTTTGAAGTTTTAGCTAAGAGCTCAGTAAGGCTCTCCAATTCTTCAGCAAACTGAATCTTGATCTTATGGATCTCCTTGTCATGATTAGCCTGGATTATTTCAAGAGTCTTAATAAAAGACTTCTCTTCCTGTTTTCAATCTTGTGAATCTATATTGTACGATTACTTCAGAGACGAAATAGGTACTAGTAAAATGAACGAATTTTTCAAAGTTTCCTTAGGAATTATTTCAAAAGTTAATTCAACTATTGATGAGGTTGGATGTTAGCAAGGGTATACAGCTACATCCCTAATTTAGAAATTGTGTGATATGGGGGAAAGCATTGCTATTTGCCCGTTTGAAGTGCTAGAGATGGGGACTGCTTCACATTTGAAAAACATATCCTTTTTGAAATCTGTGAAATTTGAAAAATAACTAATTCTTACTGTAGCTCCCGAAAGACTAAAAGAAACAGCATTGATATTATATTTTCCTTTAATAAGCCTAATTAGCATATTTAGCCATACTTTACGGGATTTTTAGAAATTTGGGATTTATGAAAAATTCAAACGAGAATTTACTGGAAAATGATAGAAGCTAGCATATCTAACAAAACGCTTTAAGATATCTCTGAGTACCTTTGAATCAAAATTCTTATGTATCTGAAGATTTAGTTACTCTAATAAGGCCTCTCAACTCAGGACTCCATCTAGTAGATATCTTTACAAAATTTTATTCTTGCCTAACGGATATGACTTGGTCAACCGAAATATTACTTACAGTGATTAGCTTCTCATAACTGGGATACTAGGTTTCATTTAGTGTATAACTGTGAGTTCAGACTTTTGACTTGTTTCTCCAGCTTTAGGATCTTCAGCTTATCTTGACTGATGATCTTCCTTAGATTAGAATTAGTTGTATGCAGCGTCAAAATTGATTGTTCCAAATTTTCAGTATTTGTGCGTGCTGGCCTATAAAGAAATTTGAGTTTCATGAATCTAATGATGTCAGAAATGTGTAGTTAGCTCAGATAAAGAGTGTTTTTGACTTCTTTAAAACTTACATATTTGACTTAGCCTCTTGGAGCAAGGACATATCTATATTTAAAGTCTTATTCACATGTTTTAGATTAAACAATTCCATATGAGGATATTAGGGTAAATTCTGCCTACCTTCTTTCCTTTCATCAAAACTCTTGATGCGGTTTAGCTTATTCAACTTTTTCTTTGGAGAATTTCTAAGAGCTAGGGGTTAAGAAACAATCCGTACTGATGTATTTATTTTCGATCAATTGTATTCTCGTTGATTCTCTCATAGATTGTTTTAATGCGCTTATCTTCTGCACTGATATTATCACTGCTGTCTTTTTTCTGTACTGGCTGGTCATACTCATTTTCACAATCTGATAAGATTTGTGATAGGTTCAGATTTGAATCTGTCCGATGATCCCTTGGTACTTGCAGTTTGTTTCTTTTGGTCAGCATCATTCCCTTCTTTTTGGGACTATTGGGTGATTTTCTCTTGATATCAGAGATTCTAAACTCTGGTACCATTTTAGAACTCTTATTCTTTCCAGGAGATCTTAACTTAATAGGTGAGTTTGAAGAAGATCCTGGAGGAGACAAGTTAGATGTGTTCAAATTGGATAAATTCAGCTTCCTAACTGCGTTCAAATTAAGGTTTTTCCTTCCATTTGGAGATAATCAGATTCTTGGTCTCATCTTTTTACTACTATTTCGGGGAAATTAATATTGTTAGAAATCCAGAAACTAGGGTTTTAATGGGGTTTTGGGGTTTTGGGGTTTTGGGGTTTTGGGG